TGAAACGGGTCTTTATTGGAAATGCTTGCCAACCAGAACTTTGGCATTTCAGAATGAAAGACAGGCTCCAGGTCACAAATCCAGTAAAGAGAGATTGACAGCCTTGTGCTGTTCTAATGCATCAGGAACACAAACTAACACCAGTAGTTATCGGCAAAGCGAAAAGACCACGCTCTTTTAAAGGAACAGTAGCTTTGAGTCTGCCTATCCATTATTTTAATCAGAAAGGAGCTTGGATGAATAGAGCAATATATAAAGAATGGTTTGATTTTAAATTTGTGCCTGAAGTTCATGACCATCTAAAATCCCAAGGCCTACCTGAGAAAGCTGTGCTCCTCATTGACCATGCGCCCTCACATCCTAACGAAAGTGTCCTGAGGTCAGATGATGGAAATATTTTTGTGAAATATTTTCCTCCTAATGTTACCGCACTTATTCAACCAATGGATCAAGGGATCAATGAGTTATCTCAAGTATGAAGAGAATCTACAGATCAAATTTGCTACAAAAGTACATCGATGAAGGCAATGATCTGACGTGTTTCTGGAAGTCTTTTTCAATGTTAGATGCCATATATGAGATTTCAACAGCGTGGGATACAGTAAAGCCATCTGTATTGAAAAATTCATGGAAGAAACTGATGCCTTTCATCACTAATGAAGATGACGAAATCCATGGATTCACTGGATTCAGTGAAAATGAGATAGCCACAGAATTGACAAAATTGGCTAACCAAGTTCATGGTGGTGAAGAAGTCAACGAGGAAAATATAAGAGAGTGGTTTGACTGTGACTCGTGTGAGCCGGTCTTCGAAATGTTAAGCAGTGGGGGTGCAGCCAGAAGAGTGGAAAGAAAGTGAGAATGAGGAAGAGGTGGACAGTGCTGCTAGTAAGAAAATATCACATGGTGCTGCACTTAATCATTTGGAATCCTTACTAGACTGTCTTGAGAGTGACGAGAACAGTTTATTAAGTGACAAGCTAATATTATGTAGGCTTCGTACGGATATCCATAAAAAGAAAAATGCTGCGAAAAAGCAAACGACAATATTAAATTTTTTTAATTGTTAAGTGTGAATATTCGTAAAAAGTGTTGGATGTTGTTGAATACTGTGATTGAAATAACTAGTTCATACTTCAGTGTAATGTAAAAGAGTATTAAATAGGCCATGAGATGACATAAATATGAGGTTGAATAAATTTAAATACAGGTAGGCCTATAGTATTATGAAGGTACAGTATTACAGTACTACTTTTAATAAAATTTGTCTTAACCGGATTTTCGGTTAATCATGATTTCCATCTCCACCATTATCCTGGATAATCGAGAGTTGAGTGTAATTGTCATTTTAAAGCACATTTCCATGTTATTGAATAGTGATGAAGTAAGGTATAATGAGTACTGAAGCTAGTATGAACCTTCGTGTTCCTGCCAAAACAAAATAACAGAAATATATCTGTTCTGGCAATATCCAATGCTGTATGGATTGGTCAGGTGCCTGGCTCTCCTCGCTATAATGAATAATCCCCTGGCACAGAAGATGCATGTTTAATTTTCAAGATTTGCCTGTTTAACAGCTGGAACATTACTGTTGGGAAATTTAATGTAATAATTTTTTATGATAATACATGCTGTTTCCATGTTCAGTGGGTCCCTTGTCACCACGGCATGCCGCATCCTCAGGTTGCAGATGGAGGAGATGCCCTCGAGGTATGGGGGAAGCTGTGAATATATTGAATAAGCAGTCACGGACAGCTGAAAAGGGGTGGTCTTCCAGCTTGAGGGGTTGGGAGTGGGGCTAACAACTCTTCAAGAGAATACTAAGTATGTGTTGCTGTCTTGTCACCAAAATGCAGGGCAAAATCATGACATAACGATAGGTAACACATGTTTGAAAATGTGGCACAGTTTAGATATTTGTGAATGACAATAACAAATCAAAACCTGATTCATGAGGAAATTAAGAGGAGATTGAACTCGGGTAATGCTTCCTGCCGTTCAGTCCAGAAGCTTTGGAGGGCTCTTGTGAACATGGTAATGAACCTTCAGGTTCCATAAAGTGCTGGGAAGTTCTTGAGTAGCTGCACAATTGGCAGCTTCTCAAGAAGGGCTCAGCTTCATGAGTGAGTGAGTGAGTGAGTGGTACATGCTATTTTTTCAGATCCACCTTTCTTACTTGGTCGCTGTTTGTGGGTTGGAAGTCGATATGCACACTTTATGTCCCCACCAATGATAGAACAGTTCCTTGAAGCAACTGTGTCAGGTCTTCAGCCAAGTCAGCTGCCAAGTATAAGAATATCAGCTGTTCGGTAAGTGGTGCTTGTTCTGAGCGGAATCTTTGCGAAACTAATCAGTATTGATTTATATTACAGTGGCTGTAGTATATTCTTTGTGAAAATAGTGTCATATTTGAGAACAAAGTGCTAAGGAGAAAGCTAGAAAATTATATAATAAAGCACTTCATAATTTGTACTCACCTAATATATTTAGGGTGATTAAATGTAGGACGATGAAATGCATGGGTCATGCAGCATATTTGGGGGAAATTTGAATTGTAGAATTCTGGTTGGAAACCCATGGGGAAGAGGTTGATGGAAGACAGCACAGATAATAAACAGGTCTTACAGAAATAGTGTTTGAGTGTGTTGTCTGGACTGAATTGATCCAGGATGAAATCTAATGGCAGGGTTTTGTGAGCACAGTAATTGACATTTTGGTTCCATAAAAGCAGGGAACTAGTTGGCTCTGTAAGTAATTATGAGCACCAAGACAACACAGCCTACTGGCTGGACAACTGAGGGGTTGGAATTTGAGTCATGGTAGGGTCAAGAATTTTCACTTCTTCATGTTGTCCAGAGCAGTTCTGGACCCCACCCAGCCTCTTATTCAGTGGGTACCAAGGGCTATTTCCTCAGAGTTAAGGTGGCCATGGCATGAAGCTGACCACTCACCTCCAACTAGTGCTGAGGTGAAGAAAATGTGGGTCTCTACTTCCACTCCCCCATACACCTTCATGGCATAATGCTTAATTAAATACAGGGACAATTTTACCTTTTATAAGTAATTACGGATTTCTCAAGAAATATTCTGCACCTTCAAGTTACACTGGTTCATTATTCTACAAGAAAGTAATGGAGTCATCTAATAATGTGGTAGACACCTAAGTTTTTGCAGATATCCGTGGAATTGAAACATGTATACATACGTTCTGTATTTAAGTATGTACAGTATACAATCTCTTTATTATATCTGTCACAACACAACTAATATCAAGATCAGACCATTTTCGTCCCTGCTGCATGTTTTGGCTATTGATAGCCATCATCAGGCAAACACATGATTTACACACATATACACACCACTGAACCGCAGCGCCAACAAAATTTGATACAGTGTTATTAAAATATATAAAAACACTTGACGTAAAAAAAAAACAAAAATCAAGTTATATAAAACAGAAGTATGATATAAAATAAGAATAAAATTCTTTTGGTGTTTTTACTTTGTTTCGTTCCCACAGACAGGTTGGAATATTCATACTTATGCATATATCAAATTGTGTATGAGGCTCGTAATGTAGATGTAGTAAAGTAAATTATAATCTGAAAATGATATGAAAGTAATATTATTAAATTTTATGATCAACAACTGATATTGGTATTGAAGATATAGAGCATATAGAGTATATTACTTATATTAGTCAGTGCCTGATCTCACAAAGTATTGTCTGTACTGTAGGGAATGTAAACAACGACTCGTACGGACAATACTTTGTGAGATGAGACACTGACTAATATTATAATTTACTTTACTACATCTACATTACGAGCCTCATACACAATTTGATATATGCATAAGTATGAATATTCCAACCTGTCTGTGGGAACGAAACAAAGTAAAAACACCAAAAGAATTTTATTCTTATTTTATATCATACTTCTGTTTTATATAACTTGATTTTTGTTTATTTTTTACGTCAAGTGTTTTTATATATTTTAATAATATTGAATCCAATCTTGTTGGTGCTGTGGTTCAGTAGTGTGTATATGTGTGTAAATCATGTGTTTGCCTGATAATGGCTATCAATAGCCAAAACATGTAGCAGGGATGAAAATGGTCTGATCTTGATATTAGTTGTGTTGTGATGGATATAATAAAGAGGTTGTATATTGTAACACAACAGAATGCATGAAATGAAAATTATTTACAGTATGTTTGTACTATTTGGAGTATGTGTGAGTTTGGCTACATGAAAGTTGAAGACCTCAGTATTGAACTATTTTTGGAATATGTGACAGTCATTTGGTTCAAGGTGAAGGAAAAGAAGAACCTGAAGTTCATGAAATCGGAGACATATGCACCCAAAGAGACCTGTGTGCGCTCCTCAGTTGCTTCCATTTCTTTTACCCTAACCCACAGATATGGTTGTTGATTATGCAGTGCAACCTTGATATTACAAGTATTTATAAAATTTGAAAAAAATTATGTTGTAATGTATGTTTGTAATATCTTAAAATGGTTGAAATTTGTAACTGCAAGTCTGTCACATAACTTCCAATTATGAACAATACTGCTGGGCACAAGTCTTTGAATAGTAATGTGAAAGCAGATACGTGATGTGTTCAAAAAGTATCGAGCCTTCTTTTTTCCCGCGTAAACCGCTGAAGCGCGGGAGGTTCCCTTCGGTGGAGATATGGAGGCGACATTCATGCGCAGTCATGAATTTTTTCCCGCCCGCAGAAAGCATCAGTCGCTGGCAGTTGGCCTATGAGTGAGGACATGTAGTGAGCGCTAATCAGATTCCAGTAAGGTGTAAAATGACGGAACAACATGAGCAGCGATATCGCATCAAATTTTGCCAAAAGCTTGGCGATACCCAAGTGGAAACCATTTGCAAAATTCAACAGGCTTTTGGGGATGATGCCATGAGCAACTCACGGATAAAGGAGTGGTACAACCGCTTCAAAGATGGCCGCACATCAGTGAACAGCGACCTGCGTTCAGGCAGATCCTCAACAAGCCAAAATGAGAATGTCATTGAGCAAGTGTGGACTTTGATCATGGAGGACCGTCGTATCACAGTCCGAGAACTTGTGAACGAGATAGGGGTAAGCATTGGATTGGTACATTCAATTTTGACTGAGGATTTGGGCACGAGGAGAGTGTCTGCGAATTTCGTACTGAAACTGCGCATCTGACTCAGACTTTCGTCGCCAAACACAACATCCCTGTGGTTTGTCAGGCTCCCTACTCCCCCAACATGGCCCCTTGTGACTTTTGGCTCTTTCCCAAGCTGAAAATGCTACTGAAAGGAACCCAATTTGAGCCAAGAGAAGACATCATGCAGAATGCGACGGCCCGGCTGATCACCATTCCAAAAGACGCATTCCAGAAGTGTTTCCAACAATGGCGGAAGCGCTGGGAGAAGTGTGTGCATTACCAAGGAGACTACTTTGAAGGGGATTAGGATTTTGTACCTCCAAATCAATAAATGTATTTCTGCCGACCAAAGGTTCGATACTTTTTGAACACACTACGTATATTTATTCTTCCTTGGAGTGGTTATCATGGGGATATGAAAATAACAGAAATAATCCAAGGTTCTTGTCATTAGTAATATCTTAAAGTGTTAAAGATTTCCTTATCCTTACATACCCTGTTCTAGTCACAACCACTAATTTGGTGCCTTCAGTTACAAGGTACAGTCCCACTCACTATTTGCTGCAGGTTTACAAGTCTCACTCACATTCCATTCACCATTTGATTCATGTGCCTGTGTGAGAATGAATGCATCAACTTGTATCAGACTGCAATAAACAGACCAACACAGGAAGCAGTTGAAACCTCAACCAATATTTGCTGTACATGCATTATATTATGGGTTTTTCTAAATGCTACAGTTTGAATACACACAACTTGTTGACTTTACTCATACGTATGTAAGAAATTGTTATGCAATAGCCATTACACCTAACTTCACAACTGTTAAATTCATTTTGTGGTTGTAGCATGTAGACTATGCATTGATCTGATATTCGAGTACTTAATCCCCTGCCATAGTTCTTGTCTTTATCAGTCACAAAGGAACAATGTAACGTGCATATCCAAACCGCCACTTCCTAGGCAACGATCCATGTTCCTGCTACAACACTACAATCGGAATGCATCCCTTCCTAGGCAACGGAAGCAACGCAATGTCATAATTCTAACAGTGAGTCTCTACGGTTACAACAAATTGTTAGAAGCATTGCGTGACATTGGGAAAACTGAACTGTGGGAAATTCTGTCTGGTATCTTGTCTGAATAATATCTATATAATGGGACCTAACGTACCAGATATTCCAGAGTTAGAAGACCAGTCTTGAGATAGTTGCTGTTGAAGAGAGAAAGTGAGTTAGCAGACCAGAGTTGGAAAAGTACAGTTGGAATGCAGAATGCAGTTGAAGTGATACTACTTGTACTTGAATGTGTAAAAGTGAGCGTTCAATAAATATTCACTAAATGCAAGACCCACGTGAAGTTACCTGTCGCGCTACATAGGCAACACACAACAATATGCATAAAGAACATATTATTCTCTCTTTACAACAAACATATTTATTTATAAACATGTTCATTCATCCTTTCAGCAGTGAAAGAAAAGGAAAAAATGAACACCTGTATCCATCTACTGACACCTGGCATTATTGGTGTTATACATTTCCCTCTGTGTATGAAATGAATAATTTGAATGTATGTCTTCAGAGCTGTTTGGGGCTTCTGTGAACATTTGAAGAATTCAAATAACACACAGATGCTTGTGTCACTGCTTCCATCCATCATGGACAATCTTCTAGGAATGGCTACTCAATATTCATCTGAAGTCCTCAGCCTTGTCATGGAAACGCTTGCACTTGTTTTATCAGTAAGTTATTTAAACATTTATTACATTCTGCATCTAATTCAGTACTGTATGTAATTATTGATGCAGTAATCTTTGAATTTAATGATAATACTGGTTATGTTAACCACACTGTGACAGCAGTTAATCCATTGACTGATAAGTTCAGTGACTTGTGTGCTAGACCAAATTGACCTTCATGAATGCTGCTAAAGGAACCCTTAACTGAATTCTTAGAAAATTGCAGCTTTATTAGTTTTGAATAAGTAATAAATAGCTATTTGAGCTTGTCAGTGATAAAATAGTATGCCTTAGTGACTTTTAATCTTAGTGCTTTATATTAATGTACATAATTCGAAGTTGGGCTCAAAATGGTGAATTGTTACCATTTTGGGAAATTACAAGTACTTGTTACAATCGGCATTTTATGTGTTTTTTAAATTCTCATATCAAGGTGCATTATACTTTGCTACAAGTTAATGGCAAATAAGTCATATTATAGATTGACAGATGGGTTGTGTTAGTCAGATGCCCTGTAAACATCTCATAAAAGATGGTATAGACTGGGTTAGGGTGATCATATGGAAATTATATGCTGATAAATAAATAATTAATTCGCTTAGTGGGGGGTGGAGTCCAACTGGGTCAACTCAGCTCGGCTGCCACTGATTGGCCTATTGTAGCCTGCCCCGGGTGATTATGATGATGGAGAATTTGGTGGAATGAAGATTGGCAGGGGAAACCAAAATGCTCAGAGAAAACCTGCCCCAGCGCCACTTTGTCCACCACAGATCCCACTTGACCAGACCCGGAATTGAACCCGGGCTGCTGCAATGGGAAGCTAGTGACTAACCACTTGAGCTATGGTGCGGCCAAATAAGTAGTTACTTGAAGGGATAAAATGTTAAAGAGTAAGATCTTCTGGGCTGTTATGCTGCGTAGTTTGGTGTCTGTTGAACTGCATGTGTTACAACACAAGATCGTACTGTTCATAGTCACTGCTGTGGGAACCTCAAACCAAACAAAAATTTGGGGCTTACATAGTTACAGCATGGCTAGGTACTACTCAGGATATCTGTATTCTTTGGTGAAGAACTGTTCTTTGAAATAGAGCCATGACTGCACTATATTTTTTTTTATTTCTTTTTGCCAGTAGTGGTTGACATTTTTATTTCCTTTAACCAGATTGATAAAAACTTCACAGCATCTTGTGAGTCCAGAGTGACTTCCCTCGCAATAGCAGTCTTTCTCAAATATAATTCTGGTGAGTTCCTGTTTGCTTTACAGTGCACATACCATATCTACATATGGTGAATGCTGGTTAACACTGATATTGTGACTATCAGTTTTCTGTATATGGTACTGTACCATAATTCTGTTTCCTTTTAGGCTAGTTATTATTCTAAAGAAGTTATACAATAGAATTGCATTTTATTGGACTAGGCAAAAATGAACTTCTTCACTTCACTGTTAGAGTTCTTTCACAAGGAACTCCAAATGTAACTTCCATTTAAATCTAAAATTCAGCTAGTAGTCAATATTTTCATTTGAATACTGTTCCCTGTAGCTCACATTATCTAGTGCCAGCAGGGAAATGTTTTGAATAATGTTAACTTAAATTACATGTCAGTTTAATCAAGTAGGAAAAGAAACCAGTGTTTCTACTTTTTTTGGAGGTCCTTGCAGAAAAACAAGTGGGTAGCCCATTCTCATCTAATGCAAGTTACCATTCATGCATGCATGCTTGTGTGCACACTCTTTGTGGGGATGACATTTCTTTTGTCTTAAATCTTAATTGAATATTATTGACTTAAGTTCGTTGTTACTTTTGAAACATTACAGATCCAGTTATCATCGATCTGACTCAAGATGTGTTCAAGGAGCTGTCTCAGAATCCTGAATGTTTGTCTCCACTACAACAGCGCTTAGTGCCAACACTTGTTAGCATTTTGAATGCCCCTGTGGATAAAATTCCATCAGGTATTTGGAAGGAACTTCATTAACTAGAGTCACTGTAGACAACAGTGATGCCAGGGACTGCAAGTATCCCAAATACTTATAAATTCAATCTGCTATTGAAATATCATCAACTCTTTTAGTTCCACATCAAGTTTTACTGTTATGTGAGCAGGTGTCATGCAAACTGTCAGATTTCCTCCATGAGAAACTTTCTTTTGGCAGTGGAAATGTATGTATTCTCTTTATGATTAGTACTGTGAGACAGTGAATTGTTAGTCAGAATGTTTGCAAAAAGAATAACCATGAAATGAATTTGGGTTATATTACTAAAACACAGAATAAGAATCAGGACTGTTGAACGTTTGTCAACTCTGCCATAGTACCGAACATTACGCCAGACATCTGTTAGAAACATGGCTTTCCAGTTGTATCTATAATATTATGTAAGTTCCATGGCTGGTTATATACAGAGTGATTCAGAAAGATGGACACAATTTCAATTGGCTATATTTCCTGAACTATATGTTGCATTTGAATTCTGTAAAGTACATTTGAAAGAGGATGTTGTAAAGTTTCTAATATTACTGCTAGATCACTCCAGCACCGCGTCAGTTGTTTTGAATGACCTAAGAAACCGTATCACAGCTGCGGTGAACTCAGTGATGCAAGATATTTGTCATCGAGTGTGGGATGAATTCAGCTACCGTCTAGATGTTAACTGTGCAGCCAGAGGGGGCACGTTGAACATCTATAAACTTCCATGTATGTATAATCAAATGTAATTTACAGAATTCAAATGGAACATATAATTCAGGAAATATAGCCAATTGAAATTGTGTCCATCTTTCTGAATCACCCTGTATTTAATTCATTATATCTATGTTACTTTATAATCCAAGCAAGTGTAACCTGCTGTTCTCATAAATTTCTTTTTTGCTGCTGTTTGTAGTCTTCCATAGGAAAATGTTAGGATCCTCAAGTTTTAACATCAGGAGGTTTTAGTATTAGCTGAGTCCATGGTGTAAAATCTGTCTTCAGAGTTTGTAATTGTGCATCCAAGAAAGAATTCGTTGTTTATGGAACCAGGTAGGTTCATGTCTGCGTTTGTAAAACTGTGTCATGGGGACCCCATCCTGAGGCAGTTTAATCTGATTTAACCCTTTAACATAGCTCTGTTGTTATATTACTACCACATATTTTTCTGAGTCTCCTAAGTGGACCCATCACTTGGGGTTTTGCAGTAAATGTTATATGCATTTCTCATTTCCTCTGTGCTACATATTGTGGCATGTCTGCTGAAAGCCAGAATTATGAAGCCATCAGAGACAGCCGTTGCTAGGGAACGGTTCTCTAAACACGCCCATTGCTAGACATTGGCCACAGCAGATGAACACAACAATAGAGGAACTGTTTTAAGCAGTGTTGTTTGTGCATTCCGTTCCAAGGCTGTATAACAAGGATCAGCTGCCATTATTGTAGAGTCTTGAGACTGCAGTTAGAAGAGTAAAAGGAGTCTGGTGTGAGATGGCTGCCAACCTACGAGGACATGAGCCCAGGAGCAGAGGAACGTTCGCCGTTCGAAAACATTACCAAATACAGCAGTGAAGACCATGATTGAGAACACTAGTCTTTGTGTGATGGTGATTTATAAAGTGTAGTTATAAGTTGTGTGTTGAAGTGTCCACTAAATCCAATTACCAATCTACACTCCGTCTATAGTCACTCTATCATGTGGTAATATATTGTCTATCTCATCCTTCTTAATATAAATTTGTTGTATCATCTCCATTTAATTGTGTTTAATGACAAATGTTTTGCTTTCTATATGAATCCAATACCTTTTACCTTTTTGCATTTCTCAGTTCACTGCAATTCAATTAGTTCCTCAGCCTAGTACTAACATTAAGAATGTGTGGTGCTTTAAGTTTCTTTGCCATATTACCATTCACATTTTGAAATTAGAAACTGTATGTTTGTGCCTGCAGACACTAGTATAGGTGTAAATATCTTATATTAAGTTTGGAATTGAGGTCCAGCATGCTCATCTGCCTTATCCTGACATGGTTTATGAATGAGATGCATTGTTACAGGTTTGCATTCTGTGGCATTAGATGTCCTCCAGACCCTTGTTCGTTATTCAGAGCCGCCACTGAGCGACACACTCATGAATACAGCTTTCCCAGCTGCCCTTCACTGCATCCTGAGGACAGATGACAATTCAACGATGCAGGTAGGTATAATGTGTGCACATTTTTGTTATCATTATAGTATTTGTATTACAGCTGTTTTGCTCACAGTACAGTTCATATACAGTGTGATTACGTTAGACTTTGTCTCAAAATATTGAGGCACTCGTAGACCAGTACTCTTCCCTTGCAGTGGGACTATGGAGGATCAGACTGTCAGCGGAACCAACAACAATTTGCAAATAAGCTTACCTACATTACAGCAGATGCTTGCAAGTGCTCTTTTCTTATTTTCAGAGAATGATCAAGACTAGAAAAAGTTTCATTGTTACCAGAGAAATGAACAGAAACTAAAATTCCAAGTGTTCAGCAGAGGGAAGTGAATGCTAGACTTGGAAATTCTCCTTGAAACCCCCTTAGACATGCACTAATGACTAGGGTTTCAAGCCTTGAGTTTCAGATGTACTTGTGCTTCCAAAATGAACCTTGATGCCTGAATGTAATCCTTTTATGGAGATGTCAGGAACATTTGCATAACATGAGAGATCATTTCCACTGTGTGGTATAATCAGGGTAATATTTGTATGTAAGTTTTTTGAGCCATTAGCAATCTGAGTGTTCACAGCTCCAGTAGACAGGAGGAGCGCCGGATACTTCTGCCTGAGGGGCTTAATTTACAAAAAAACTCCTATGATCTTACTGTAGAAAACAGTGTAGCTGAGCACATATTCAAACAGCTATTTAGGTAAACCATAATAAACTCAAGAACTCAAATAGTTGCCTCAAGCTATATTAATTATATGTGCAACACCCTTGATGTAAATTACAAGAAACCTTGAAGATTGTCTTCATTGGATAAATGTGGTCATAATTACGACCTTTATGTATGTGATAATTGCTGTATCATGGTGGATTATTTTGGAATATTAATTTCTCATTATGCGATTTATATTCAAATTTTCAGTCATTACATATGAGTACACACACTTTCAGAGCGGGGGAGAATGTTTGCGTACTTACATCTCCAGTTCTCCTGAGCAAGTATGCAATCATCAAGACAATGAGGGACACACAGGCTTGTGGTATAGTCTTCAAGTAGCAGCCCTTCTTCTGAATCCTTCATCTTCAGAATGCACTGCAGCGTATGTGGGTCGTCTGATTGTTACACTTATAACCAAAGCAGGAAATATCTTGGGTGAAAATTTGGACCTACTTCTGAAGGCTGTACTCAGCAAAATGCAACGAGCAGAGACTTTAAGTGTAATACAGGTAAGTACAAATTAATAGCCCACTTCCTTTCATCTGTTTTACTTGTCATGAGAAACAGGAATTAGATGGAACATATAGTCATTGGTGTGTTGTTTAGGAATGCACATGATGCAGTTGCGTACTTTGAATTGGTGATGCTTATGGCAGAGAAGAGGTGAATGAGTAGCTGAAAAACACTGATAATCCAACTTTTGGATGTGACTGGGAAACAATGATTGTTGTTGAATGTATAAATTTTGGAATGGGGATACATAAAATTAGATTTGTTCATTTACCTTAAAAGACCTTAACTCTTTGACTGGTGCGGGCGTGTTTTAACGCCCGGATGATGCCAGCCGTTCCCTGGCGTTGGCGTGTTTTAACGCTTTGATAATCTCTTCCCTTCTTTGCTCTCTTGGCACTCATCAACCAAAGACATATATATGATAGTTTTTGTGCATGTTTGTAAAGAGCCCTTGTAAACTTTGTGGGGGTCTATATTACTGTCAGAACCCTCTGAGAAGGAAAAGGTCAGAAAATATTTAACATTCATTCAGTTTCACCATGGCTTCTCGCAGCAAGTGTCGGTGTGTTCCTACAGACCAGCTGGAAAGTGTTGTGAAGGAGATTTGTGCTGATGATGATAGTGGCGATGAAATAAGGATTCCTGAATTAGATGAAGTTGATAGTGACAATAATACAGTGATAGACAATGATCCACAAGACAGTAATCATGAACATTTAGCTACCACGAGTGCGGTGCCTGACACGTCCATCTCATGAACGTACGGAGACATTGTACCAACAATAGTTCTATTTGCTAGTAGTTTTGGGATCAAAATTAATATAACACATAAAATGCATCCCTTTTCATGGATTAAATTTTTTTCTGGAGATGACTTGGTAAATCACATCACAACTGAAACCAATCGCTATGTTCACCAGCACTTCAACACACATGAGTTAGCTCCTCACTCTCGAAAACACAATTACAAATATGTCACATAAGATGAAATCTGGACATACTTATGAATTGTGTTCATGACAGGAATGACAAACGCCCTGAAATTGAAGAATATTTGTCCACTAGGCCCCTATTTCACACTCCATGGTATGGACAAAACATGTCTTTGCGGTAGAATAGTTTCATTCTATTCAAAAAGAACACAACAAACGAAAAATACAAGAAGAGAAATTACAAATTCAAAGATTTTATATTGGACTGTGTAGAAAAATGACTGAACCAAACAAACAGTGTGGAGAGGGAGAAGAGTCAAGGAATGAAGTGGATGACGAATCTATTGCATCAGACTCGAGTGCAGTCACACCTCCGCCCTCGACCTTGAAAAGACCACCAGTGTAAGAGCCAGTAAATCGTCTAGAGGGTGGCCTGAAAATTCACAAAATGGTCCATGTTCCTCCCAGTAACAAGAAGAATGGTGCCCTGAGAAAGTGTCGTGTGAGTGCTAAGCACAAGATTAGAAAAGAAACAAGTGTCATTTGTGCAGGCTGTGGTGTGGCTCTCTGCAAACTTTCATGTTTCAATGTTTATCACACGAAGAAAAACTAATAAAGAGGTATAGAAAGGCATTTATTGCATAAAATATTGTCTTTTAATTAGTTCCTGAAAATTTCGTTTTTAAAAACCAATTTTTGTTGAAGTTGTTTAGGAAAAAGTAACTACATGCATTTTAGCGACATAAGGTTTAAAGGGGCTGCCAGGACAGGGGTGGGATTTAAATACCCTTCGCGCCAGTCAAAGAGTTAAGACTTACGAAAACATCTGTTCAGCATAAGATGTTTAATTTTTCTCTACAACTTCTGTTCCAAACTTTTTTTGTCTCAAGTGTTTAGCATGTTACACTTGAGATGTGTCCAGAGATACATTGCATTTTTATGTAAGGTGGTTATTAAAATTGTGTGATGTAAATGAAAATTGAAATGGCTTGACAGATTTTTATGAAATTCTTCAGTATGAATTTCATCAAAATACTTCCTGCAGTTTTTGTTTAGTTTTGTGTGCATGGATGTACAAATGGATAGAACCAATGTAATAGTCATTCCAGAAGGTTGCAGACATGCTTATAAAGGAATGTGGACAATCCATAACTGTGTTATCACCAGGAAAAATCTGTTTATTGTATATTGCATCAGGAAAAGTTGCATGACACATTTGCATTGTTTCCAGGGGGACACATGTGAAACAGATTTTTTTTTATGTATCTTAGTCAACTTCACTTCCTTAAATATAACTTGATTTTCTCACTATCATAATAGTTGGTTGGTTGGTTTCCAATGGCTGCATTTGGGATCATATAACCCATTTTGCTTCTAGCTTCACAATAGGGAGCACTCAAAGTTCTTGCTGCGTTGCACCTCCTTGTTATGATTAGGGCATTGAAGGAGGTGTTCTTTTCCCATAGATAATCCTGGCAAGTTGCACAGTGTACATTCTTCTGTGTTGTATATTCCTATCTTACAAAGATGTGCTGCAGGGCAGTCATGTCCTCTATTCAATCAAAAATTTGCAACAGCTTTTCTAGGTTTCTTGCTGTTAATTTGCCAAAGTTTTCGTATTTCTGACCATTTCTTGTTGTCTGGTTCTTTGTTGGTGGTATGGAGTATTTACATGTTTTAGTTTTGATTTCGTTACCTAGCATGTGGGCACTTAAGATTTTATTTTGGCAATGCAGTCTTTTGCCCTTCTTTGCCAGTTCATTAGCAATATCATTTCCATTGATGTGATAGTATCCATTGAATGTATATTATCCTTTTTGTGTTTTCCAGCAGTTTTATTAATTTTTTTATTTCAGTTATCTGTCTCGTGATAGTTCTTTTGTTTGAGGATATGGCTTGTATGGCTGCTTTTGAATCCACAAGCAGAACTGTTTTATTAAACATAATAGTTGCAGAGTAGATCATTGCAAATTGTGCAATATTGTGAGTCATTGAGCCACTGCATATGCCTCTTCACCGGATTGGGAAAGCATTTTGTCACACAGTACCGTTTACTCTTGTATTTTGAGTTGTAGTTTCACACAAGATGTTTATCAGAATGTTGCTCAGTTTATGGTTGTAATATTTGTATTTATCTGCCCTACAGTTGTTGTGTGAGGAAAAAAAATCAAGTTCTATTAAAAAGTGAAGCTGACCTTGATATCTCATAAAAATGCAAGGTACAAACAAACTTTTTTCATGTGTCATGTATCCCCAACTTTTCCTAATGAAATGGATAATGGAGTTCATTTGAGGTGATAACATCAAGTGGCCCACTCTGTATGCTAGATGTTTTTCATGTGAGCAATTATTGGCTTAAAAAATAATTGAATACAGGTACTGTTGCACTTGTTGTATGCCATAGATTCAAGATATGTGATATTCTGCATGAATATACATTTAACATCAGACATGCTTAAGGGACTGATGGAGTTTCATGGTACATTTTGCAAACAAGTAGTAATGTAGTTCACTGTAGGTCGCGGTGCAGGGCCCAAGAAGGCCCACCCTTTATACATTCATTCAACATGTACACTATGTCTGTAAGTACAAGTACAAGTAAATATGTAACAAAGCTACAAATGATACAAACTCCGTCCCAAGTGCAAACAATATATATAATATGTCTTTGATCTTGCTCTCTTCTACACTACATGTTTCGGCCTCTGACGGCCATCATCAGGTGTATACTCTTACGTTGCTGCCACACTGAACCCAGTCTAAAATTTAACATTTAAAAAACACATTGTTATTTTCTTCGTTATTATCAACATCTACCTTGTTGATATCTGTCTGGTATGTAGATTATTTTGCGCACGTCAATTTTGATTTTCCTGTAGTAGCACTATAAAATCTTTAGTTATAATTTTAAAATNAAAATTATAACTAAAGATTTTATAGTGCTACTACAGGAAAATCAAAATTGACGTGTGCAAAATAATCTACATACCAGACAGATATCAACGAGGTAGATGTTGATAATAACAAAGAAAATAACAATGTGTTTTTTAAATGTTAAATTTTAGACTGGGTTCAGTGTGGCAGCAACGTAAGAGTATACACCTGATGATGGCCGTTAGAGGCCGAAACATGTAGTGTAGAAGAGAGCAAGATCAAAGACATATAATATATATTGTTTGCACTTGGGACGGAGTTTGTATCATTTATCGTGTAGAGTGCAACAGGATGCTTAAATATAATAATGTAACAAAGCTATTCTGTGTGTGTGTGTGTGTGTATATATATGAAACATCACCTTTATCTACTTCTGGTCTGTTGGAGACTATGAACTGTTGCTTCACAGTGCCCGAAGACGCTGAATACAATGTCTTGTTTAATGTTCACCAAAGATAAGCTTTTCTGAAAGCTATAAACTGTTATAAAACAGATGTGCCATGTACATTTTCTTATGATGTATTGGAACAAAAGCTACAGAAGTGCTCCTCTTAGTTTGCATTTGTCTGCCTATCCACATGTGTCAACTGAAGAATAACTGAATGGGTTTTCATAAAGTTTCATATTGGAGAGCTTAGATAAAATCTGTTAACACATTTCATATTTAGCTAAAAGTATATGACAATAGTGGACACTTTGCATGAAGACCTGCTTGCATATGAAAGAAAGTCAGAAAGTAAAGGCTGTTGCAGTTTACTTCAAAAGTGATGTTGATAGCGCTGAGAAAGATGGCAAATGTATATTTATTTGCTTTATCTTAAATTTGAGATTTAGTTCTTTGTGTTGATCTCCGTGTTTTCTTATCTCTTAAATGATGAACTTTCCTCATTTGTATTGAATATTCCACCATTTATCTTAGACTCAGGCATACACAGTCACAGTAATGGAGAGACTTATTTAAATGTTGTTTCCAATGTCCCCAAGGTGGGTGGGAATAACTAAAATACAAAGTAAAGAAGATAAATAATGCATTAGCATCTGCCAACACACTAGTTCTAAAATCCATCACAGGATGCAGTGGGAGGCATAAGGATACTCCTGCTTCATGTAACAGCAGATAGAGATTAAAGAAAGAAAAGAATGCAGAATCTGTATAAAATAGAACTGCAATGGGACTGGATTATTTTTCCCAATATTGGTGCTTGAATTTGAATTGAATTAAAGCTGGTATGATGGCGTTACCTCATATTCATCTTGTGTACAAACATGGCATTTTTTAATCACATTACATACATTGTTTATTGTTTCCAATAATGTAATAGGGTTTCCTGCACATTTGTTAACCAAGGGACTTGATTATTGATCATAAGTATATTCTTGCAAATTGTATCAACAAGTTTGAAATTATTGTGATATAGTGAAAATTCCTTAAGCTCCCTGATGCTATTCAAAGCACCATGGTATGACCATATTTTGATAGATAGATGGCATAAAAGTGTACTTCATGTCCATTCATTCAGGAAATTATTGTTAAATAGTACAGCCACTTCAAAATGAAAGGCCAAAATTGGTACAGGCATGGACTAGTGGCATCAGTAAACTGATGTCCATGGACTTTATTTAAAATCGCTAGTAACATGGGAAAATAACATCTGCTGTGGATAGCCTGTTTCTGCTATGACCCTCAGCACACAAAAGAGTAAAGTTACTTCACAAATGCAGGAACATAATTCACAAGCAAAATACATGCACAGAATCAACATGAGTTAAAATAAATAAATCATTCTTGGAAAACCAACATAAGTTGACTCAAATAAGGTCACTTTTACCTTATATCCAGGAAAGTTCAAGAATAAAGAAACCCTTTTCTTGCCATGCAATGAGCCAGATTACAGCCAGATTCGCTTACATATGCCAGCAAGGCCCCTTGCTCCTTTTCCTTGGAAGGGACACAAATGGTTGAAATAGAGTTTATAAAAATAATGAAACACATTTGAAAAGGCCCGGAACTGAATTTTAATGATTCCACCACACCATGAAAAGACTAAGAGAGCCAGATGCTAGCTAAGCACTCCTACACTGGAATAATTTTGGGGCCCAGGGATAGTGGAAATTTGAGGACTGGTCAAAACATGTTACAGCAGGTCACTTCATCACAGGGGAGGGTGGGTAAACATCGGAAGGGTGACAGGCAGATAGGAAGGAAACAGGCTGGCTGAGCTCAGGAAGTCAAAGACTCTGAAGTATTGTGACGTGGATTTGAACAGGTCAGTACCCAGAAGGCACTGACATGAAACAGTTCTTATATCTTGTTTAATTCCAACCTCGAAGACAGAAAAACGTCAGATTTTTTTTAAGTATATGTGTATTTCATATGCTGTTTTTTATGCACTTCAGCATTTATAATGGAGAACTACCAATAGGTAATGAGACTGGTTTCATATCATGATTTATATTTCATTCTCTCAACCAGGATCTGAGTGCTGGACCATTCTGGGACCTTTATCTGTAGGGCCATAGTCCTGATTGTAGCATGTTGAACACTGCTGTTCTGTTGATAGAGTGTGCTGAAGAAGAATAGTGATCTGATAACTGTTTTCAAAGATTGGCATTTACCATAAAACTCCGTAGCCTGTAGTTTACAAGTGAACTATACCGACCAAGCGACCGCAGCTTGTCAGCGAAGTTAGTGCCAACTTTTGCAGAAAGAAGGTGTCACGTGGTCAGGGCAACAGATCCCCATGGCCTTTAATATCTGTTTTCTAGACCAGAGCCACTATTTCCTTGAAATAGCTCCTCAGTTATCCTCACGAGGCTGAGTTGGCCCTATTCCAGACCCACTACTTCTCACAAAATTTGGTAGTGCTGGGAATCGAATCCAGACCTCTGGATCTCTAGCCAGGAACTCTGACCACTAGACCACAGAGGCAGTCGCCGTATGTTGACTGAATATTATGCTTGAGTGGTTAGCACTTTTGGTTCATATTCAGAAGATCTCTGGGTTCACATGTCTACTCAGAGACCAGCTATCCTGATGGATTTGTGATTTTTCTCTTTAGTCTGTTCAGGCAGTGCCCGGTTAATAGCTCAAATTAGGCCCCACATCCTTTCCAGTTCATCACTTAGGAATCAGGCTCTCATTTTGCTCTGTAATCTCAGCAATTCAGAGTGTTACTGAGTAAGGTAAAGGTAAAGTTGTCTGTGTGCTTAACTAATTGAGCGCTATGCCATGAAGGCATATGGTGGAGTGGATGTATATCAATATACATTTTCTTGATCTAGGCAGTAGCTGGAGGTGTGTGGTCAACTTCATGCCCCAGCTGCTTTACCCCTGGGGAAGGAGCCCCCATACCCATTGGATAGGAGTTTTGGTGGAATCCAGAGCCTGCCTGGATGACATGGAGAAGATAAAATTCTTGACCCTAGCGTGTCTCAAACTCCAACCCCTCGGTCATCCAGCCCATAGCCAGTCTCTATACCAACTACACTATCTGGGCTCTTAAGAATATAAGCTATTGCTGTATGTGGCCTTCATTCTGCATATTCACCGATTTGTCACATTTGTCCAAATCTAGTGATACCACACATCTCTTAATACCTGATATAATGCAAACCACCTTTTTGGAATTGAGACATGATATGTTTCTTTGCTTGCTTGCACCAACCATAACACGTGCACATGGGTTGCAGAGTGTCATCACAAAAAGAAATCTTGTAGCTTGAAAATGTAGTAGAACATTCCGTGACTTTGCATTTAACTGGTTTCAATTCTGCTTGCAGAGTCTTGTTATGGTATACGCACATCTGATTCATACACAGCTTGATGCTGTTCTCAACTTCTTGTCTACTGTTCCTGGCCCAACTGGTCAGTCAGCACTTCAGTTTGTTCTCACCAAGTGGTGTTCTCGCCAGCACCTCTTCTATGGAGCATATGAGGCAAAAGTCAGGTACACAGAATTGGTTATTCTTATAAAGTTGGATTGTGTATGTGATTGATTGTTTAGCATTCCTGCATATCCATGATGTTCAGGGTTCAAATTTTGATCATGAGACTGAGCTATTATGCTTTTCTTAATTTTCTCCAGACAAGTACTCTGGTAATACCTTAAAGTAGATTGTGCTACCTTCAGCATCCTTTCAGCTCATTCATAATTACCCTACCATTTGTTGGTATGTACTTAAGTGTTTTTAGATAACCAAACAATCAAACAAGTGTTTAAGCAGGGCCTAATATCTTAACTTCAGGAGCTTATACCTTATACCTGTAAGTCATAAATAAACATAAGTCCAGTTCCTCAGTGATGGCGAAGCAGCGAATGCCGTGGATTCTAGAATGGTCTGGTTTGTTAGTCATGGTTGTTTAGAATTGGCAGCAGTGTGTGGTACTGTGGAGACAGTTTTCATAGTTCAGTGTAAGTTTGCGATGTGGGTTGCTCCAAAATCAGATGTTAGGTCCGTTTATCCTTGTGGGTCTTCTAGCAGATAACATTTATCTACAGTTTCTGCAGAATGAACTGTCATACCTTTTAGGAGATGCATTGTTGGAGGCAAAATGTGTATGCATATTCAACATAATGGAGCACCTCATTTTAGCCATGCAGTGGACACTCACCATGATCATTGCCTTCCTGATCAATGAATCAGTCATGGTGATGACAAAATTGGCCATTCTGATCACCAGACCTCAACCTTCTAGGCTTTCATTTGTTGGGGGCACATAAAACATCTGGTATACCAGCAAAAGGTGTAAACATTAGATGATTGCTCTGTTACATTTCAGATGCTGCAACCAGTATAAAGGAGGATCCTAATGAATTACAAGCTACACACTCGAGACACAGGTGTGCCAGTGTGTGAATTCATATTGATGGTTCCCATTGTGTACAGATGCTGTGAATTCAGCGTTGAAAACTATGTGCATACTTGAAGAAAGCAGTCTTCTGGGATATGGCACCGTGTAGAAGTTGCTTTAACAAATGTTTCAGAGGAATCTATCGCCTCCATCTTCAGGGTAAAATGCAAGGAGAAATCTGCGAACAAACCAGCATTAGCAGGTGCAACAGACTACGTTCCTCCGAAATGTCAGTTAACACAACTTCTACATGGTGCCACATCCCAGAAGACTGCTTTCTTCATAGTCACCGTCATGAAAACCTAAAATCTTACATATATGCATATTTGTTCACTTATTTTTATTGTTTTTCTAGTGACGTTGAATCCATAACCAATGAGAATTGGGCTCTCATGTTTATATGTAGGGAAGTCAAAAATTATCCGCACTCTTGTTTTTCCAATCCATATATACAAAAGTAGGGGTTCAACAAGTACTTCATTTTTCTACATAGTCTCCTCCCTTTTCTGTGCACTTGGTCCAGCGGTCCACAAGCTTGCATATTCCCTCCACGAAGAAGGTTTTTGTTTGGGCACGCAACCATTTATGCACTGCTTCCCCACTTCTTTGTCCGTAGAAAATCAAAAACCTCGTAAAACATCTTTGAGTGGTCCAAAGAGATGATAGTCAGAAAGGGCGAGATCTGGGCTGTAGGCAGGGTGTTCCAGCACCTCGAAACACAAATGGTTAATGGTTTCAATGGTCTGGCTGTCCTTGTGTGAGTGTTCATTGTCATGCAACAACAACACTTTCTTCGACAATAAGCCTCGGCGTTTGGTGCGAATTGCTGGCTTCAGATTGTTGGCCAGCAAATCACTGTATCTTGCACTGTTGATCGTACACCCTTTGCCAGGTAGTCTTCCAGTATAGGCCTTTTGAGTCCCAAAAAACGGTTAGCATCACCTTTCCCATGAAAGATTGATCCTTGAATTTCATCTTTGTTTGCAATCCCAGGTGTTTCCACGCCATACTCTGGCTTTTGGATTCTGGCTCATAGTGATGAACCCACATATGAATTTCAGCCCCTGACACACCTTCCAACCAGAGAAATCGGATCACTATTCTTTGTTAATCATTGGTGCACACTGCTAGGAGAGTGCCCATGTTTACGCTGTCACAGCATCAAGGAAAATGATGCGATCAAGGTAAAACTTCGATCACGTGACCACAGTAGTACCAACTCTAACAATGCGTGCGTAGGAGACAGTGTGACAAACCTAAAGATATGTTATGGAGAAAGTGCGGATAATTTCTGAGTTACCCTCGTATGTCATTTCTGACTTAAAATAGCATCAGGTATAAGCTTGTGAAATTAAGACATTTAGTTGTGAATCGTGATGTATATGTGGACTGGCTCATAGAGAGTATACCAGTAGTGCCATGTACAGTAATGTACTTTGTCCAAATGTTAGGAAACCAGGGAATATCTTAAATTTTTATCTGTGTTAATTCTGGGTTAAATAGAATGTTAGGGCAATTTAGTTACTCTAGTTTGGTAGATAGGTACCAACATTTTGAACGAACATGCTGTATTGTTTTTCTGGCCAAAAATTCTTCCCTGAGGATGGGGGTAGCAGGCACTCCAAAGTATTCATATGTATCTTCCATTGATATGTAGAAAAATACTTCTAGCAATATGAGGAGCATCACATATGTTTACTGTATGGAGACTTCAGTATAATAGATGCTTCTGTAAAATTCTGGTAGATACCAACTGTCGCAATTTTACATGGCTTACCTCAGACCCCATGTGAAAATGTTGGGATATGGACTACCTTTAGGCATATTACAGCCCTCACATGCCTTATCATTCTTTCAGTTTTTATTCAGTTTATACAGTGTCACAAAACAAATGGGGTAGCGTGAACACCCACATTTTCCTCTAGTGAACTGAGCAAAAACTTCAGAAAATTTCAGACTGTGTTGTAAAATATAAAGTAAAAGTAAGTAAAGGTATCCCTGTAACAGGCCGTGGAGGCCCATAGGGTTGTGAGATGTTGAGGTTCCCACATTTTCTAGACAATGGGCTAATAGATGGCGGCAAGGTCGTCCGCCTTACGCGCCGGCCGCCATTTACCCCCAAGAACATAACTGGTACTCATTTCTGTTAGAGGCTGAGTCAACCCCAGGATCATAGTGTGGCTGGGAGGATTAGGTCAATTGAAAAAAATCCAATGACCTCATTGGGACTTGAACCCACTACCTTCCAGCTTGAAGCATAGTTCCTCAGTCAACTACACTACCATGTGCCCCAATTATAAAATGTAGTAAAACATATTAAACAACATTAATAATATATATATAAGGGCAAGTGGTAGCGTCGTTGGTTGCGGCACTATGCTACAAGCCGGAAGATCGCAGGTTCATGTTCCGGTGAGGTCATTGGATTTTGTTCAATTGACCTAATCCTTCCAGCCACACTATGATCCT